TCTTTGCCATCTTTAAAGCCACTTTATCCTTCATCTCATTTTAGTAATGATTTGAAGTTACGGTAACAAAGACAATCTCAAACAGACTGACGTGTACTTTTGAATGCATATTTGTTTTATAATGACTTAACCAATACTTACTCCATCAAAATTGGAAAGTGTCATAAAGTATGTACAATACAGGATCTGTAATCTCGATCTGATATGTTAGCTGTAACCCGCTCTTAACCTCCTCCCACCTAACATTGATTTCCAGCACCGTCCCCGCCGTTATCGCCCTTTAAAATTTCGTCAAATGCGGCCAGTATTGGGGAGCGTAATGAAACGACCGTAGTGGTTGATTTGGTAGTTGAAAACGAAGACGTTATGCACTGATAAGCTTGACCGAATTTCCTGGATGTTATTGGTGTCTATTAACTCAGAAATTTCCTAGCAGAGGTCACCCACATGAGATCCTTACCAGACTGATATATCTAATAGTCGGTGTACTTCGTGAAGTCATATTTTCTACAGGGAATGATATAGGTGAAGTTTGAATGAGATTAGCTAGTAAATTCCACAGTAAATTCCAATTGAAACTTCCTCAAATGAACAATTTTCCTCCCTCCAAAGTGGAAAAGACCATCCTTATTTTTTTCACTTGTTTCCATTTTGGAGTTTCGGGATGCCGTATGTAATCATTTTGTGGTTAAATATTGAATCCTAGTTTATTTAATAAAAATTTAAAACTAATAGAAATGTGAACTCGTTTTAGACGTTGTAACTGTAGATGCTAATTGGTGGCTCTGGTGATACTAACAGTGGGAGGCATGTCATTTAAAATTGGAGTAAGGGTCGAAACAGGTAAGCCTTTCTCAAAACATTGTTGAGCCCCAAATTCTATGATAACTTGTTATGATAACTAGAGCATACCAAATGCACGAAGCAACCGTCCGGTTAATAGTAATGATGAAATTATGATGCTACGACTCATTCATTATTCTATTTATAGCCTCTATTATTATTAAAAATTATGAATAATGATCTTTTTGTTTGAAATTCATTTGAAACATTTTTCCACTTGAAAGTCATCACTTGCGGTGTATTCAGCATACAGCAGATGAATTTAGGTGCTTCTTATGTTTTTGCCCAATCGTGGTGCCAGCTTTATGGAAAAGTGACACAACACTTGGATTCTACTAATGCTTTCGAAGTTATTCGAACGGTTTTTGCCAAACATTATGTATTTTTAAAAAATTATATTTATATGTTGTAGAAAAATCAGTTTCAGCTCAATTTTCAGAGAAGGGTCGAGGAGTAGTAGAATTCTTTGGTGAAACTGAATTTGCGGAAGGTACTTGGGTAGGTGTAAATTTGGATGAACCGAATGGGAAACACGATGGTACAGTAAAGGGAATGCGATATTTTGAATGTGAACCGAATCACGGCATCTTTTTGAAAGCAAACCAGGTCATTTGCTTGTATCAGTTTCTGTAATTTCCTTTTATGGTTACCACGATTTTCACTCAATTTTTTGCATTGCAGAGGAAAATTCGTGAAAAATCCAGGTAATTTATTAATCAAAGATCAACGTTCGATTGCAAATGAATTTTATTGATATACTGAATAATCATTGTAAAACTAATCAGATGAAATTCCTTGTATGTTATGATACTTACTGAATAATATTTTCAGGTGCGTCTAGAATCTCGAGGCAAGTCTGGCATGCGTTTACCCTCCAATATTCGAAAAGATGTGAGAAGCAAGATTTCACCGGCTGCAAGTTTTTTCTGAATGATTTAGCATTTATTTTAAAATACATTGAGATTTGTGAACAACCTTTGTCCTAATTTCTAGAGCTCTCCTAGAATGACACCGTCCTCTTCTACTGAGAAATTAAAAACTGTGGGTGGAACTGGCACATCTCCGAAGAAGCTTTATTCTAAAGAAGACACGAAAGGAGGTACTGGACGACTTGGTAGTCAATCTCCTTCGCAAACAACTACGGAGGTTTTTTTTTTAAAACTGTCAGAGTAAAGATTGAAGTTTTTGAAGTCTGAGTTCCTTGCAATATTGTTGATTGATTACAGGAGATTTCCAGTTCATCTCACAAGTCTCATACTAGTGAGGCCAGTCACAAGTTGGGTGGGATTCCGAAGAAGAGTTCCATTGTAAGCAAATTAGGGAATGTATCTGGTGCTACCAATGTGGAAGAAATGACAACAGCAGAAAGTGTGAAAAGTATCATCAAGAAGATGGAAGAGGTTTTAATCGTATATTTTGTAACATGTTGGGTAAATTCATATTAATACTTTTCTTAATTGCATGCGCAAACATTCAAGCTATGCCCGATCTTATAATCAAAGAAGTTGAGGCCGAAGCCGTGTTTTAGAAGTACTGTTTGAGTAGAATAAACCTTTGGTGATGAGTCAATAAATTGCTTAATATGATGAAACTTTCTCTCGTGATTAGTAGAAATAAAACAAAAGTGAATTCGTGTCTTGCTATTTTCTGATATGAATTTTATATTCTATTTGTTTTGATATGAATAATGCAAATAATCGATAAAATGCTGACTGTTGATATTATTTCAGTCATCTTTGTCTGCCCCATTACCTCCTAATATGGATGAACGCAGTGAACTCGAATGGCTTCGTATACAGCATAAGGACCTATCTGAAAAGCTAGAAAGTTTAAGGTAATCTTTTCTGTCATTATTATTTCAATACTGTTCATTTATGTATTCAATGATTTCATTTTTTTTTAGAATTAAGCGGAAAGAGGATCACATTAAATTGGTTGAATTTGAAAGAAATCGAATACAGTTAGAATCATTGCTCCAGTTCAGAGCCAAAATACTTGAGGAACAAACTAGTCTACAACGAAAATTGCAAGAAAAGGACAAGGTAACGCATTTTAAATTGATTTAGTTATATCTGTTGGCTAGCTGATAGGTATGAAGCAACCATAAGAATCCGTTTGGAGTTTTTTTGTGAGACAGAAACCTGTGGTGTTATTGTTCAATAGTGAAATTGTAGGAGTTAAGAGATGCACTCGAATCGAAAGGAAGCGAAAGTGATGGTCTTACAGAAGTTGAGGAACGTCTTGAATTAATAACGATCGAAAAAGAGATGGCTGAGGAGAAGGTCGACATATTACAGGTATATTTCTCAAGCATACTCGTAAAGCATCTATTTCTGCCAGCAGTTGAAGTGAGCTTTTTGACATAACTATACTAGCAATTGATTTGCTAAAAAAAGACGGAACTTGAAGTTCTTTGTTTTTGTTAATAATCCTGTCGATAGCCGCAAGTAACTTAAAACAACATGATCAGCTAGTGATAGCTTCGGTTGCTAATGAAATTCAGTTACAGAAAAATTGCTCATTAAGACATAGCATCTCTCTAGCTTTGACATGCATGTGTAAAGTCATTACTTAATTAGTTTTCTATTTTGGCAGTATTTTCGCTATTTTTTCACATCAATTGTTTTGTTGTTGTTTCTGCTGGAATTTCTTTCCGACTGTACGATTTATTTAGACCGAAATTGAAGCGGAAAAACAACGAACGCAAGAACTAGAAGTTGAGCTGGAGTTACTGCGCAACGAAATGGAACAGTCAAGCGATAGTTCATTTCGGGTATGTTTGCGTCGCAAGCTTTGTTGTAACCATGAGATTTCGAAGTTTAGTAAATATTGGTTTTCTTAGAATTCATTTTTTGGAAAGATGGGAAAAACGAAAGGAAACATTTTGAGAAAATTTCAGTGTAATAGTGTGCAGATGAAACAGCTTGAACAACAAAATGAGAAACTTCGAGAAGCGTTAGTAAGGTATTGGTATTTATTTTTTGGAATTCTTTCGCCATGTGTTCATCAAATATTATTCAAGGAGGATGCATATTTTTATTTTTTAGGATGCGAGATGTGACAGGGCAAATGGTAATTGATAAGCAGGAATTAACGAAAGAAAACGAAAGATTGAAGGATGAATTAGCGTCGTTGACAAAAATGTGTGAAAAAATAAAGAAGGATTCGGATGCATATGAAAATATTATTGCAGAGTTGAGAGAACAGGTCAGTGATTTCTCGTCTTCAATCATATGAAACTGAGCATGTTCGGTAATACTTATATGCGCAAATAGTCTGATCTTGTTAGTGCTAGAGGCTTTGATTATTCACCGCGTTCGTTCTCACAATGCGGTCTTCGCAATCTCAGAGTTAGGAAAATATGTTATCCTTTTTTCTCTCTCTGTGAGGCGCATTGGTTTTTCATCATAATGTTTTTAATTTTTAAACAAATTTTTGTGGCTGCCAGTGTTTGGAGTGAAGTTTAATTATCATAGCTCCTAAACGGAGATTTGTACTTTTTTGGCTACCATTTCTTTTGGTTTTGTACGTTATGAGTACCAATACAGAATCCATCTTGTTAGAATGAAACTGCAAGATCAATTATTTTTTCACATTTATCTGGTTAAATGCAACGTTTACGGATGTTTTGGATTTGTTGAATCAGACTTTTTATTGCATTTTACATCTGATTTGATAAAAATTATCGATCGAGCCTTTTGATGTTTTCTTAAATTTCCGTTAAACTTTTAAATTAAAAATTTTCTCGAAATATGACCTCGGAATGTATGTTTGATCGCTTTTACAGTTTCACAATTCTGTCTATATCACTAAATTTTTATCCAAAATTAACTCAGACCTGCCATTTTGTTGTTAGCAAATAACTTTAAAAGAGCAAAGCATCATTGCTTTACAGGTAGATGTAGCAATGGGTAGTGAAAAAATGATAGAAGCATTGACGGACAGGAACTTGGATATGGAAGAAAAAGTCAGGTAATATTCTGTTCTATAATAAAAACATCACCCTTAAGGTTTTCTTCTTCCGAGGTTGAGTCTCAATTTCTTATTTTATTTTTGTTAAGGTGATTATTAAAATGAAGTATTTTGCTGAAATACTTCATTTTTCCCGATTAACTGCTCTTAAAATGTGAATTCTTCAGTTGCTTTTCAAATGGATTTAGTTTATTTTAAGTCGATGCTGTTAATTCGCATAATTTTGCAGTTGTACTTTTTTACAGAGCTTTGGAAGAAACGATTGATGATTTTGAAACTATGCGTGCAATGGATGAGGAAATTTTGGAGACCCAAAAAGATGCTGAAAAGGAGTTGAGAGAAGAGCTTGATAAAGCATGTGGGAGGATCAGTGAGGTAATGAGAAATATTTTCCTGAAATTGTGTTCGATTGAATTTTTGGATACTGATTGCAAAATGTGGCGCAGTTTTTCAGTTATTGCTACAAATCAAGGCATGTGGTGCACAAGCTGAAAATTATGAGAAAACGATTCTCATGTTTCGTAAAAAAGTTAGCGATCTAAATGAGGAAATCCAAGAACGTTATGATGAAGTAAGTGTTCATCGTTTTCATGTGATTTTTCTCATCTGTAGCCTTTGTGGTTCTGGCTCGTACAGCAAGAAAATATTACGTTCTTGTTCTTGCTTGTTCTTACAAATTTTCTGAGTCCATCTAGAAAATAAAAAACTTTTATAAGTAATGTGTTGTAATTTAGTCTAAAGAATTAACCGAGGTGGATATCCTTATTTTCTTCTCATTGTTTCAGAATTTGCGTATGCTAGAACAAATACAATTTCTTGAAAAAGGAGGCGCCGTTCATGGATTGCAAAGCACAACTTTCACCGCAACACGTGCTTTTTCGGAAGTAAGTTTATAACTTTCGATAAACATATTGTTGTATATTTTTAAAAAGTGGTCTGAGGCGAATAAATTGAATTACTATTAAAACTCTGCGTTATGAATACAGTTTTTGAATGATTCGTATTTTGTCGTTTTCATTTCTTTAGATGGTGGATGCTGAAGTGCGATCGTTGGAATTGGAATTTGCACACCAATTGACCAAATATCTAAAAGCCTTTATGCCCGATAATTTTACGAAACCAGGGGGTCAGTTTTTATTTACAGGGTTACACATAGTGCGTCAAAACTTTCAGTTGTGCGGTTATCACTTAGTTAAGGGATTCATCTGATCAGCACTTGTTTTAGAGTACTGTTGCCCATTTTTTATTTACACAATACGAGGAGTTTCCAATAGTAATCAATGCGTCAGTTAGGTTGTTTGGTAGTTCGATATTAAAGAACATCAAATTTAATATAATTGTGAAACTAACAGGTGATGATGATGCAATAATACTTAATGTCTTATTTCCACGACTATACCAGAAATCAGTGATTTTGGCAAAGTTGCTGAGTAATAAGGTTTGTTTCTCCTTTATACTTTTTTCTTGCTGTTTGATTCATACCGTTTCTTGTGTATCATTTTAACTCATATATTTTTTAATTAATTTGATTTTTTCAGTACCCTCCGGTGCCAGGTGGTATGCGTCGTGAACATGTCACCAAATCACATAAGGCTGAGCAGTGGGCACATTGTGCTAAGTTCAATTATTTATTGAATGCATTAGAATGCGTCCTACGAAAATTTGAGAGGTGAACCGATTTTAGTAGTCATTAGATTAGAGGGAGAACATTTGTTAGCTGCTAATAGATGATGATTGTGAGATTCGACTTTTGTTCTTTCTTTAGCTGGAGTTAATCTGTGTCGTGTAAACGGGCAAACGTTCCTATCTGCTGTAGTTGTTTTGCATGTGGCTGTTGTATTTCAAAATTCTTAATGGTGGTTGTTAAGCTAAAATGCTAAATTTTTTTATTGTCACACGAAATTATGTTGTCATGTTCTGATTTTCCATACACTCTGATTTTATGAGAAAGAAGCAATTAACGTAGAGTGCCGTTCACTATCAAATTTTTAATTGATATTTAATTCTAAGCTTAAAAAACTTCGATATATGTCTGAAGTGGGAATTTTCTTCGAAATGACCTTACATATATTCCAGTGCAATACAACGCTGTTCGGTGGAAAGACTGTCACGCTTGGCACAACTTCAGTTGGAAATGGCCACACAGGAAAGGATGATCGATCAATATATTGATTTGTTGAAGAATGATCGTCTCGATGAGAACACTTCCTCAGCCAATCTGGAGAAAGGAATAACATATTTCCAGGTAACTTCATGTCTGTTTTTGTTGCAACAGATTATTGATTATTATGCTTTCATACAAGACATACCTTAGAAGCTCATGCAGTTGTTCTTTTTCCAAATTCGGACAAAATGGATTTTTTCCAGAATGTTTTCTCAGTTCACATGGCTGGTGAAGCATATGATATGAAGCAGGCGTTCTCTGATGTCATCTCTCAATTACTCTCTGGTTTAGGTTGGATGAAGATAAATGTTCAGCGGTTTACATACTTTTTGTTGGTGAGTTCGAGTTTTAAAAATCAAGAATTTCACTTCAGGAAGACTTATAGATGGTATCATTCTTTTTTTTGAGAGCATCAATCACAGTGTAAGTAAAAAGAATACAAGTTTGGTCATTTTCATCATTTTTCCCCCTATTCAAATATTGTTATTCTACAAATATATTAAATTCATTTTTGTTCACTTTTTATGAAAAATTGAATTGCTAGATATCCAGCTTCAAGCAGGATGCTAAACTTCTTTTGCTTGCTTATTACGAGTTACTTGTAATTTCTGAAGATCTATCACTTAGAATGAAGCATTTCTTTTTAAGCCCGGTAGTGAAGATAGTGAAATTCATGTCTTTGCTGCTTCATTAATGGGATTGATCACAGAATGTGAACAACTAACGATTCGTTCAAGAAATCTTATCCCAGCACAAAAAGAGATGACAATAAACCAGCAGGTATAGTTTTTTTCAGATGCGTTCGGAATTTATTTCCTCAATCCTTCCAGTGCAGTTCCCTCTCAGATTTTTAGAAACTTTAAACAGAGTTCACGACTAACAATGGAAAGTTTTGCACACCTGCCTTTTTTATGTATTTCTTGATTTATTTTTCAGATGGACGAGCAATTATCGAGTGTAGTCAACACCCTTTGGAAGGTAGCTACTGTTGCGAGCAATATTTGTGCTGTAGCAAGTATACAGCTAAGTACACATACCGGTATTTATTTACCTATTAAATTATAAGTTATTCAGTTTTCAGTGCTAGTCGATTATTGTATATTGAAGTCTGTTTTGTGTATAGAGGTTGCAAGAAGGAGGAAATAAAATTAGAAACTGATCAAGATTTAGCGGTTTTGCAGATGCTGAGGGGTTACAAAGTGACCGAATTAAAGAAATGTTATTAGGAGCCGTTGAAAAAATGAATGGTCAAACTGACAGCGCCAAGGCAAAAGAAGTTATCAGGTATGGCTTTTCACAAGCTATTTTATAGTTAGTAATTACGATGTATAGAAATTATTCGTTCTTGACTACCACAATTGTAATATGTTTTAGCCGTATAAAATCTTAAATTTTTCTTTTTGCAACTTTCTTTTTTTCAGGAATCATATGCTTACACTGAAATCAATCCTTGCAAAATTAGCTGAACAACTGGACAGTGGGAATTTAGAAGTAGAAACAAGCAATAAGAAGGTGAGAGACATTGTAAGCTATATTATTCCCAATCTATTAATAATTTTGCATCAGTGTTAACACATCTGTGTCAGAAATTACAATTTTTCGTCCTGGTTACCTATAACAAAATGGTTTAAACTGTTTAATTTTTGTTCTGTTTTGGATAAAGTTACTTCAGCCATTTCCACCGCTTTTGGAGCGTGCTCATGCACGAAAACAAGATGCAGTGGAAGCAGAGGGACTTCGCTGGCAGCTGGAAAAAAAGGAAAATGAAATATCTGATTTGAAAAAAACGCTTCGATCCAGAGCAGACGATATTAGCAATTATAGAGTATTCTTTTCAAAACATGTGCTTACGGTCTCTGATGTTGTGAATAGAAGAGAAATTGAGAAATCATGGTCAAAAAAAAAGCATTAATAGTTGTGCTTGACCCAGGCAGTCCTGCATTGACTGAAATTAATTCTGATTTTTTGGTTGAGAAAATCATTAGCAGTTGTTTGGTGATAAATTCAAAGGTGTATATTCTTAAAATTTTGCAATATTATTTTGTTCAAGCTTCGCTTGGAAATGGCTGACAGGAAAATGGAAACATCGGGTAAAGTGGATGAATCACGAGTATCGATATTGCAATCACGTTGCGATGAACTGCAAAACGAATTGAAGAAAAGGAGAGAGTAAGTATTACTTTCCACACAGGGTTTATTTCATTTTCGAAACCGAAAAGAAAAACGTAGATGACTAATTTTAGTCCTCGTGGTGTATCTTCGAGAAATTTTTTGTTTTCAATTTTGTTTTAGCCTTTAGTTATTTTTTTCCTTTTTACGTGCTAATTAAGTGGCAAATTTGCTTTTAGTGAGTACGAAGAGACAATGGATGCTATACAAAGAGACTTGGAAGCATGTGAGAAGGAGAATGTAGAATTGAAAGAACGGGCCAAAAATATGAGCAAGAAGGCGTTGTTGATGGTATGGTGTGCTTCACCTATATTTGAAAACACGTTTTGTAAAAATTTGATGTGTATGACTTTTTGACCATCCCATCATTATTAGTATTTTAAATACTGGTTTGCTCTTTAGCACCATTAATGGTTCTAAATGGAGATAACTATCAGTTTTTGTCCTTTGGAAATCGCAACAGATGGTTCAGGTAAATTGACAAGACATTCAGCTTTGTTAATAGAGCATATTTTTTTAAGAATTTGAGCAACACTCTAACGCCATCCGTTACTTCATTGCCATCAACACCAACTGCTACTAGTGGTACTGCATTTACATATGCATCTGAAATCGGTTTTCTGGAAGCGGCATTAATTGAAAAGCAGGATGCTCTCAAATTGGCGAATGAAAAAATACGTCACCTGAAGGTTGCATTTTTGCTTCCAGCTTAGTTATTGCTTCCTTAATCTTCCTGTTTTGGTTTCATTGAAATCTGCTACAGTTGTGTGAAGTGGTTATGAATTCTTTTTTGTTTGAGTTATGCTAGGAAATGAATGGAAATCTGGTGTGAGATACCTTCAGGTTCAAGGTATGTTGCTTTCAGGTTCAAGACATGCTGCGGCTATTGCCAGATACCGGAGTGTCTGATATTTCGACAGAAATTACTGGACTATTAACACTAGAAGCTGCTCAGGGTCCATATAAAGAAGAACTTGACAAGTTGATTAGAGAAGCGGAAGGAATCATAAGTGAAGCTCGGAATTACCAAGTGCCTTATATAGCAAATTTGCATAAGCAGAAAAAAACTCAGCTTCTTGAAAAGCATCAGTATTACTCGGGTGTTCGAGATGTCAATTATAGGATCGACGATGTGAGTGTTATCTCATTATTGATAACCGTTTTATATTTTCACATCTCTTTGAGATTTCATTGTTGTATTATTCTTACCATTTTTGTCTTATTTACAGTTGAAATTAAAAATTCATCGCTTCTGGTCAAAATATAACCCCGGGAAACCGCTTCCGAGCTTGTTTAATAACATAAAAAGCATCGTTACCGAAAGGCCGAAGGTGAGTTGTAATCGATAATGATAGATATCTCTCAGTTTTGCACAACAAATCTTTTTTTGACATCTTTGTATTATGAAATTTTCATGATTTCCAGGTAAAATAACAATTATTGGGGTGATAATGATTGAAATGTGTGTTGTTTTACTTGAACAAATACAGTAGACATATTTCAGTACTTACAAAGTGGTGATCGAGGTGTGCATTCGAATGCATACAAGAATGCATATAGTTTTTTATTTGACAAGTTGGATGTGGAGTGCAAGAAGTTCGAACCACGACCTGTACTTAGAAAATAGAACTCATCGAGAACCACCGGAAGTCTCCTGTATTAAACTGTGCATAATTAGTTCTTATGCGCTGTTACCTAATTCAAAAAATGCCAATTAACATTTATTAGAAATTGCCTTACAGTGAAGGTTTGTTTTGACCTGTTTTGTCCATACGCTGAATATCGTGATTATAATTATATCTTTGTTATATATTTATTATTCGGATAATTTCATTTGTACCACCCACTACTTATTCTTGAGTGATATTTCTGAATTTGAAGAACACTTCAATTACATTTATGAAACTGTACATGTAGAGTGCTTGGCATGTATTTCTGCTGTCGTGTATATATGCATATTTGTGCTTTTATATGATTGTGTGTATGATTTTGTAAATTCTGATATAAATCGTTAGTGGTGAATAATGAATTTTCTTCCTTTTTATCCCTCGCCTTTTTGTTTCAATGACATAATCCAAAATGGAAGTATAGGATTGATATATACGACCATGATCGTATTGAGAAGGAAATACGAAGAGCACAGACATTTTTCTGATAGTATGCGTATGGAAAATGGATAATATACATGTGAGAAAAGTAGATTAAGTAATTTATTGATGATCCATGTTCATTCATGAGCTTCTATATTTATTCAGGTAAAGATAAATTCCTCTTTTGGAACGAAAGAATAGTGTGATAATTTGCTCACAGCATAAGCTTAAAACTCGATTAGATATATTATCCGGTTTAAACAATCACAGTTGAAGGGGGTTCATCTTCATAATTATCTGGTAGCGCGCTATTGTATACATCACATGTAATATAATGCAAACAAAGTTATCATTCGCTACCTTTTCTTTTCAAATTCTGATAGCGATATCTTTTGTTTCAAAAATTACAAGAATAGGTAAAATGAGAAGTAGATTAAAACTACAATACCATAAGCAAGTGGCAGTATAATACGCGCTGATAGATCAACCCTTGCAGCTGTTATTGAGTAGTAGTCGGACCAGCGATGGAAATAATCATTTATCAGAGTATCATAGTTTGATGTTGAAGTTGAACAAAGTAAATCCTGCAATTTATTTCAAATTTTCTCTTTTTTTTGCTTTAATAGCTATGATAAAAAGTGTCCAATCAATTTCACAGATGTTAATTAATGGAGTAAATGAATAATTACTATGATAATATTCCCTTTAATTCAAGTCCATTAGGTATGGCACTTCAAATTATGAACCATGCTGCTTCATTTTTTGAAACATATGGTACCAAAATAATTTCCAATTAAAATATTATCGGTATTAGAGCAAAAAAAAATCAATGAGAAATAGTCCGATGATATTGTGCTATCATTGCTATTTTAAGCAATTGTAATTTTGAATTTATTAAAAATAAAAGAACAAACTTGGTCGAAATGTTTCATTTCAAACATTCGTCCATTAGCAATAGGTGTCCTTGGGCTAACTGAACGTCCTCGTTTTGCAGCTTGTTTTTCACGCCTATATCGACTTTCTGCACGGACACATTCGTTTTTGTTGGCAAGCAGAAGCTGCTTATGTGACATTTTCACTAATATATGCACTGCTATAACCTGCAAAATATCCATATAAATTTTGAAAAGAACTTTTTACTCCTTTCATAAATAATAATTTGAAGAGGTGCTCAAAATACTGCTTACCTTGATCATTTTTATTAATTTAATTAATATTCGTTTTTAAATGATATTTTTAATATTTTAATAACTAATATTTTTAATCAAAATATTAGTAAGAGTGATCAGGGTAATTGCTATTCAAATATCATGGAACATTTGGCAAATTTAGATTTGTAAAAACTGAGTCAGCAGCATATAATTAATTCTATTCTTACTAAGGTTGAATAATAAGCTTCATGCTAATAATTTATAGAATCAAATTAATGCTAACTAATTATGATATGAGATTATATTTTAAATATACCTAAATGATAGTGATAATAATAATAATAGTAATAAAGGTTTGATATTAATCAAAAATTTCAAATATCATACTTCGATCAGTGAAAGAAGAATGAATATATTGCATAAAAAGACCCAAATATCAGCGGCTGTTAAGTGAGCCGTTGATGGTACTTCATTATTCCAAAGCATTGTCTGAAAGCATTTTTCTTTTCAAAGAAGAAATTCTTCAACAAATTTGCCAAAAAATTATTATGAATTTTATTACCTAATTAATATATGATTATTTTTCACAGGTTAATCTAAATATTAGATTGTTTATTTTAAGTTTTTTGTTTTTCGAAATGTTTTCTTTTTGGATTATCAGGTATTCTTGGGATAATTGATAAATGCTTTTTTTGGTCTTATATGAGTGTTATTTTGAGTTCTATTTGTGTTTCGAAATTGTTGAATGGAATTTTCTTTTATAGTTGCCTCGGTTTTCCTAGTGTTTCTCTTTTATTCCGAAAGAAATGCTAATATATAATTATATCCAATATATACTGATACTGGCTTACGGATAGGCAAGATAAATTTGCAATCAGTTCGGCTAATACCGGTATTGTTCACTTATACATTATCTTATTAAGTAATTGTAACGGATGATATTATAATGATAATACATAAGTAATGTATTTGATATACTATCAGCAAAATTAATTAATCTTTGCAGGCCATAAATGATACTACATTGATTTTTGAGAAAGTTTTATGATATAGCAGAAAAGATATGATAATTTTAATAATTATTTATACTAATAAGCTATTATTATCTTCTTCTTTAATGATTTCTCATTCAAATTGAAATATTCCAATTTCTATCAGTTAGAGAATGATAAATAAATAAATATTCGATTAGTTCACATTTTATCTATTTAGAAATTATATTAAATAAAAAAAATTAATACACAAAAGAATGTAAGTAATGATGAGAAAGCCAAAATGGTTATCCGTGATTGCAAACGTTGTCGTTCAATATAAAAGATAATCCAGGTAAGTGCAACCAATATAATTGTTGGCAAGAAATAACGAAAAAATGATGTATGGAATGGCCGACGAAAATGTAATCGAACACGAAGACATGAGAATCGTGCTAGAAAAACAAAAAGAAAGGTGAAAATGATAAAGTCAGGTAGCATTTGAGATATATCTTACAATCCTGTTAATTAAAATTATTTTAATTACTTGTTTTGAAATGATTAATGTGTAAATGTAGTAATAACATATTAGAAATACTAATTTTTTCAAAATTTAATTGATACAATGATCGTTCTTTTCCTTCTATTCATAATAATTTCAAATCTTTTTTTCCTATGAAAAAGAAGGAAAAGCAAACCCGAAGCTATATTTAATTCAGTGACAGCATAAAGTCCTTCAAAATTGCAACTTTCACTGGAAACTAACGATGTATGCATGCTTACAGGTCCTATACTTGCATTTAATCGTGCTCCATCGGAGTAATACCACGAAAGTGATAATTGCCTGCTAGGATGCTTACCTGTAATATCAATTCATTAAAAAAAAAATTCGAATAATTAATTTTTCGAAATTTTCCATACATAAACATTTTTAAAGTTGCCTATGCATTTTTAGGGTTACCTATGCATTTTTAAAGTTACCTATGAATTTTTGGGGTTACCTATGAATTTCTAAGGTTACCTATGCATTTTTAAAATTACCTATGAATTTTTGGGGTTACCTATGAATTTCTAAGGTTACCTATGCATTTTTAAAGTTACCTATGAATTTTTAAGGTTACCTATGCATTTTTAAAGTTGCCCATGCATTTTTAAGGCTACCTATGCATTTTTAAAGTTGCCCATGCATTTTTAAGGTTACCTATGCATTTTTAAAGTTACCTATAAATTTGTGAGGTTACCTATGCATTTTTAAGGCTAACCTAAAAAGTGATCGAAAATTTATGATATAATTTTTTTTATCCTTCTTTCTGCAATTAAATATAACACCCTTGGAAAATATTTGTATTTGATGTATAGGAAATTGTAAAATAACAAGAAATGAATTTCATTTACAAAAAATCAATTCAACAAAATCAAAATGATTAAGAAGTTGAACGGTATAAAAGATCGTCAACTGTTAAATGAGAAATGAAAACCCGTATAGATATCAATTGGACAATAATGCGAATCGAATGGATAATGCTTCAAATTGAATGGACAATGAATTTCCATTTCATAACTGAAAAATATGAATGAATAGATTGATAAAATATTCCACCCTGAAACTGAACTAATCAAAACCCAGGTCCAGTTATAGCTACCAAAAAATTAATAATTAACACTTGCAAAAACAATTCAATTATACGCCTATCGCTGCGCTTAATAATAAATTTAAAAGAATTCCCACAAAGTGTTTTAAAAAATGCTAAAAGTAAAATAAAATTTTAAAATATAAAAGAGTTAGAAAGAACAATAAGAGGAAGAGGAATGAAATTACATTCTTGTTGAAATATTTGTGCATTTTTTCATTTCATCCTATAGATTAATTAATTCAATCTCATCAGATCGAACTAATTAATAAGAATTAATCGTTTCTTTTGCTTTGTTTTTTTACCATCTCATGAAATTGTCAAATGAAATGAATGGTTCCTAGCCATATCTTAATATCAAATAAATCTGTCAATATTATCATAGTGATTATTTTTATTATCATCATAAAAAGGAAGAAAAGAAATTTCAATTAAAGCTTATTGCAGTTATCCAACTAATTGTTCTCAAAATAAGAATGATAGCATAAAAATGAAACTTGATAAAAGGTAAGTATTAACTTTGATCGAGTAGATGCTGTTCCATCAGATGCAGAAATGATAAGTCGATATATATCTTTTGGTCGTACTTTATTACCAGTAAATTGTAAATCACTGAATGGATAAAGATACTGATCATATTTGACAATAACTGAACCAGGTGGTCTGCCTAATTTTTCCACTACCATTAACAATGAAACAGTTGCTTTAAAATTCTGCAAATGTATTAGTCAATTAAAAATAATAAAGATGAAATTTTTGACGGAAGAATTCAATAATATGTCCAATAATTATCCAAGTGTTCATAGGAATCTGATTTAAAAAGAAAATTCGAATTACTAAACCAAAAGCAAAATATAATTATTATCATATAATCAAAAGATATGATTATTGATAATCAAAATATGATTAAAAAACAGGGTCTAACTTACGTGAATTAAAATACGAAAAAGTAAGCACAAAAAGTATAAGCAACATATATGTATGAGAAGTGTGGAAAAGAAAATTGTAATCAATTTGATTAATTTACCGATTGTTTGAGATTAAAATCGCTAATTGATTCGATTGTCATCCCAATTTGTAAATTTTTCTTCTCTGCAAAAAAAAAAGAAAGATGTCAAAAAATTTATTTTAATCTTAATTAATAATTGCAAATTAATTAATTGTTCTATATTAACAATTAAAAATAAAAAAGAAATGATCAAGTGATGAAAATTGTAGCATTGATCAAATTTTGTAAAAAAAAAAATAAGATGGAAATTTTAGCGTTGAACAAATTTTGCATTCATGTACCCAAATTTGAAATATGCAAATTAATCACAATTAATTTAAGATATTGATTTAATGTGAATTTCCTTAATGATTTCTTTTCTGCAAAGAAAAAAAGGAATTTATTTAATCGCATCTATGAAAGCTTAAATTTTTCAACAATTTAAATTAATGATTCATCAATCATTAATTTAAATTGTTGAAAAATGGAATACCTTTTTTTTTCTTCACTTATTGTTTATAATTAATCCTAAATTAAGTCTTCAAAAAAATGGAACAAAAAGTTTGCAGAATTATTTCATTGATTTAAAATTATTAAAATAAAAATTTCGTATACCTTCTTTATTACTATCAACGATCGTTGTTTTTGCTGTTATATTACGACTTGTTTTAGCGATTACTCTTCCAAATGCCAATTTAATTGTAACAGTCACACAGACAATAAAAGTTTGTAGTGAAAGTTGTTGCATAAGGTACGCATAAAGGCAATAGCTAAAATTCAATTTTATGCTTTCAAAAACTTTAATAATCACTGATAAAATGAAGTTGAGATTAAATTTTGATCATTCTAATAATAATAATAATAATAATAATAATAATATGCGCTTATTTTATTCAATACATTTATCATATTACAATATATCTGTTATGATAACAATCCTAAAAATAATCGTAACTTATTTCAGACATTTTTAATTAATTATTTTAGACATTTTTAATTGATTAAGACAATTTTAATTTATTCGATAATTCATAATTACATTTGAATGTATAGAAATTCTATTTGATAAAGACAAATAATAAAAATATTTTAGGAAGAATTTTCGAGGATATAAGAATACTATCTTTAGCAAAGAAAACAAGGAAAAAAGGATAGATCCGTAAGAGTTGATAGTTTAGATAGCAGTTTTGAAGTTTAAAGCAAATGATAAAATTCCTTGTAAACTAGCATTTTTTCTTTTTAAGATTGAGAACGTCAGAAGTTCTCAAAACTTGAAATTGAGCATAAAGAGCAGCAAAAGAAATAGAAGTACGTACCGATGATTTGTAAAATAACAGCTGAAAAATTCACTCTACCTCAACGATCTGTTGATGAAGAGATGCAGGTGAGATAGGATGACATCAAAACAGGTGCATATGGAAAAATGTTCGTAGACTTTCGCAATATAAACTTACAATTTCATTTCTATATAAAATTTTAATTTTAGTATAAAATAAATAAATTGAAATTTACGGGAAAAAAAGAGAAATAAACTAGAGAAAATTTATAAATCAAAATTATAAACTTATACATATGATAAGATAAATAAGTGATAATTTTATAACTTATATTTCTTTCTTTTCATTTCCTAAATAAATTTATTTCTTAAAGAAAGAAAGAAACTTATCGCAATTTTCAATTTTCGCTTCTTTTCATCTTATTATTAAAAAAAAAAAGAAAACTTTGAAAATTAAATAATATTATCAACAATTATCAATATAGAAATTTAGTGATGAAAGATGAAGTTGATAAAACAAAACAAACAACAGATTGCTATCTTTAATGATCTGTTACCATTTGCTTGGTGGTTATGAATTGGTATCGGACGATAAACATTAATCATGATATCCTTCAAAGATGGGAAAAGCGATCATTCATTTAAAACGCTTTAGTCAATAAATTTGAAACACCTCATTCAAATCGTTCGTTTTTTTTTCGAAGCAACTGAAGTGTTTGAAATGAAAACTCGAACAGTTGTTGTTGGTTCAAGTTAAATAAGTTAAATTTAAGAAAGGTCAAAGTAAATAAATATATGAATTTAAAAAAAAGAAAGTTTTTTTTTTCAAACATAATTTTAAAATTATTTTTAGTAAAAATTTGTTACATTAATACTAGATTTATTTTTGTTTCATTTTTCTTTTGTTTTTAGTTTAAAATAATTGATAGGATTGATTATGCAGTAAAGTTTATCAAAAAATATTTGTAACAATTGAAAACAATGAAGATGAAATGAGGAAGAAAAGAAAAGAAAAAAAGAAATTATGAAACAGGTAAAACTATTTCATAATTAAAATTAATAAAATTAATAAGAAAAAAAATTAAAATTTAGTAAAATATTTGTTTTTTCAAATTGAAATTATTATATCCTTTGTTTTAATGTAATTAAAATTTTTTTTTTTTTAATAACTATAAAATAATTGCTATATTGATAATATTTTTATTATAAATTACAGTAAGTTACAGTAAGAGAATGAAAAAAATATGGTTAAGTATATGTTACAAATAAGAGAAATGGTTAAATATGATGTTACAAATAGACTAGTTTATCAATATCTTTATCAATTTTTTTTTCTTTTGTTTTAAACCAAATAATTAATTTATTATTCAATTTTCGTGATACTTTTAAAAATATGCTTAGTTGAAAAAGAAAAAAAAAAGAGTGAAATAAGCATTCCAAGATATTATTGTTGCACATTACAAATCAGCAAAAGAGATGTGAATTACAGCACGATGCTGTAATTTCAACATTTCGAAAATTTTTTTCTATATCTCTTCTTCATCGCAAATGAACTCAAAAAGAAAGAGGAAAAATCATCACCGCCATCATCACCGCCATCATCATCATCATCATCAATTGATTTTTGCAGTAATTCATTCATTTTTATTGAACGTTGAAAAACACAAAGTGAAAATGAAAACCAACAAATAAAAATAAAAACGAAAAAGCCCTTTGTAAAAATGATTGAGAAAACTTATTTGATAAGCTGCCCCGTTTATTTTTCCATTTTCTATTTCCTTCAAAAACTATCTCTTACTTTTATCATTCAACCACCACACTATTCCAGAAACATTTCATTTTGCATTTTCGACACAAATCATTTGCAGGAAAAGAAAAATGGAAAATAAATGCATTTAAAAATTATTTTCAAATTCTTCACCTTTTATCAGTTAATGATTGAAATAATATTTTTTTTTTCGATAATAAATAATTCAGATATATTTTGTTGAATTTATTGATGTGATACAATGAATGAATTAACATTCCGGTTTTTTTTTCCTTTTCAGGATTTCTTACACTTTTAATATTTAGGAAATTTTCTTCTTCTATTCATTACAATTATTTCACTAATTAATCAATTAATTAATTGATCAAATTGCTACAGAGAAAATATACTGTAACATGCCTATTCTTGGAGACATATAAGATATTTTTGTTTTAAATTATATCATCAAAAAAAAAAAATTTTTGTTAAAATATTGCTCAATAAACTTAATAATAATAAACAATAAATTAAGTTAATTGGAGTGCAATAAAAAAAAAATAAAAATAAACTAAATAATTAGCAAAAACATAAAAATAAAAGTAAGTAAATAAATAAATAAAAATACGAATAAACTAAGTTGTTAATTAGAGAACAATTGATTTTAGAACACAATAAAATGAATTTATGAATTGAATTTAGTATATTTCATTGCAATCAGAAGTGAACTTCTTCCTTCTTACTTCCAACTTTTTCTTTTTCTTCCTCAATCTCATTAAGTGTTGTGAATAATTGTAGGAAATTTTAGATCTTTCTCTTTTCTTATTGATATTTTTTTCCAGCTATTTATTTTTGATTCCATGAAATTAACTTATCCGAATTTCTTTTTCCTATTTTTTCTTGTTGCCGTGACTTTTGCAACTTTGCTACTCATACCAGTTTGTGAATTAATTTCAATTTATATCATAAAATTAAGGGGAACAAGTTTCTTAAACATTTCCAAATTATGTTTTCTTTTTTTCTTCAAATAACTTATCCTTATTTTGAATAAAGATAAGAGGTGAAAATAAGATAAGATAAGATATGATAATTGAATGATTGAAAATTTTTCAACATTTATAATCAATATTCATGAAATATTACACTTCTTGAAAAAAAAACAAATATTTTCAATTCAGACAAAAACGAACGAACTAATTTTAATTACATATCACAACTATAATATTTCTAGTTTACCAGAAATACGAATAATTTCTTCTTTTTTAAATTTATTTCCATCAGATGATGAGGATTTTGGCTGTTTGTTAAGATTTTCTGCATTAAAATATTGCTCATGAAGTCGTTTGATAAGATCCAATGTTTCCTTTGATATTCGTCCTTTCAAATCTTCGAAATTATCATTAATAGTGGTTTTAGTTGAATCGGTTGAAATCACTTTTTGCTTAATTCCATGACCATTTACCAAATTCGAATGCAATGATGTCGTATTCTCTTCTGAAAAAATAATTCATTTGTTATCATTTTATGAAGCCATAATTCAGATAAGTATCTGAAATAGTTTTATCAAGTCTGAAATAACATTTATGATTAAATTTATTTTGAAACAATAAACAGATAAGGCTAATTTTTTTTAAAACAATAAATCCATAAAAATTTTTTATTAGTAACATACGGAATGATTGAAACGATAGTTGTTTACTTTAAATATTATAATATAATAATATGAAGTTTTAGTAATCAATAGTTTTGTTTAGATTACCTCCTGTTTGCGACCATTCTTGACCATCTAATGACCTAATAATGTTGATAATTGAAGAATTTATTGCCACAGAAGTATGATTTGATTCATTTTCATATGAAGCATTTTTGAAAAATGTCGGAGATTAATTAAGTGTTGAAAATTCTTTTTTTAATTGAAATAGATAGATGTTTAGTGAATCAAATTGAAATTACTATTTACTACGTGAATCAATTGAAAATTTTTAATTAAATCTACTTTTATGACTAATATTTCAAAATTTGAATTTAAGAAAATTAAAACTTACTTTTCATTTATTATTTCGATATCTGCTTTCACTGAAAATTATAAATCTATAAAACTTAAATTTTTTGTTAATTAAGTAACTTTTTAATGATATTAAAACTCAAAAATGGAACTGTATTGGAAAAAAAAAAGGTAATCTTTATTAAATTTAATTGCATGTGAAAATTTAAGTAAAATTGCTTTCTTTTATTTCAATTATCGAAAGGATTTATATTCTTCTGCCTTCACACTATCGAGAAGAATAAAATCTCAGATAAATTATTTCTAAGAATAATTTTAATAAAGTTTTATTACAATATTGTTGACAACACTGAATCTGGCAAGTATATCGTTTATGTTAAAAAAAAATAATTCAACATATTGAGCTGACCAATCGTGGAATTATTGGAAAAATGTTATAGAAGTTACCGACACATATAAAAGTTAACTAATGAATTCGTTTCTATGCTTATTTCTTGTACAATACCTTTATCTGATAAATCATTGTAACATCTTTTACTAAACTTAAAAGCTTGGAATAATTATGTTCGGTATCTGATTCCATCTTATTAACAAGCTTGCCACGGGTAAATTCGAGTGATCGTATTGATGCCATTTTATTTGTTTACATGATGATGAAATTAAATGCTATGTTGCTATTGTTTATTTAAATTTTCAAAATCATTACTTGTTTTAGTAAATATATAAAGTAAAAATTTACCATCAATAGCGATGAAGATAGTAATTAGGATAGGTGAGAAGGGTAAGTACATTAAAATGAAAGTTTTTCTTCTTTGTCAAAATTTGAAAGATTCAATTTTGGAATTCACTTTCTGGAAAACACATGAAAATTGGGACAGCAAAAGATGAAGTTGAGCGTTGGTAGTGGTGATGTGATGGACGACTGATGTTTGCTATTATTATATTTCAATCGAAATGGATCATTAGCAGAAGACCAGTCACTCTGGGATCGACTCTTATTATTATCGGACCGGATCCTGTTCCCGGCCTGTTAAAAGCCGCCCATCGTTTGTTTGTTTATTTAAATTATATACAGCGATTATTACATGTGTGGGATGAATTGCCTTTGAATATTATTAATGTTGAATTCACAATTGTATAGATATAGAAACTTGTAAAAAGTTCGATTATAGAATTTAATTTTTTCTTCTACTAAATTTCGAAATCAGTTCATGCACTCTTCGCAGATCGTATTTTGCTATAAATGGCATAAAATTTATCACACTTTTATCATAAAAATTTATGATAATAGAATAAAAATTATATCGCACACACTACATTGATATATCACTTTTTAAAATCAAATTAGATTTTGATAAAATGTTAGTAGCAAACAATTTTATTATAATCATTATTCCATCACAATTAATTCTTACTGAATAAATTGAATTTATCATTGTTATCTGTATCACCCGAATTCAAAACCAACGATTTTTATCTTCAACTAAATCAATTATCAAATATCGCGGTACGAGGACAACATACTCATGAAGAGTATAAAAATAAAAATTAAATAAATTTTATCTAATTTATTTTTCTTAATTTTAATTAGAAATATGATAATATTTGAATAATAGAGCAAGATAATAATATCTTATTTGATAAATTAAATTATCGGTATGAATGAGTCATCATTCAATTTCAAAAACTCTAATTTTAAAACATTTAATGCATCAGTGCATATAATGATTTTAAATAATGATAAATATAAGAATGATTTAAAAAGAATCTCTTCGAAAAAATGATCCATCGTAAACATTTGTAAAATTTGAATCGGTTAATCCGATTATAATTTTTTCATTTTTTGTTGTTAAATTTCCAATAATATTAAGGGTTGTTGCATGATTTTGATTTTCGTTAGGTTCGATAGTTTTTTCACATTTTGTTTGTACACTTCCAGGTATTGTATTTGATACATAACCACCACAGATGATTTGATCACTTGATGTTAAGCCCATAATGACCGATACTAAATGTGTGGTAAGCGGTGAACAACAACTGTCAGTCGTATTAGCAATTATGAAATCACCATGTTCAGTTAAACCGGTAACAACTTCATTGCTATTGGCATTTTCAACACCTCGATGCTTTTCATTCAAATTTTCCGGAATTTGGGACATTGATAATGAAACAGTTCTTTCATTGTTATCCATCGAACAAAATGGTATAGTTGATGCATTTTGTTGATCGATATTGTTCACTTTTTTATTATTTGGCATGCTTAAACCATCAACAATCACATATCCATCATTTGTTAAACCCATTATAACTCTCTGTCCTGAACAATCATTATCAGTAACAGATAGGTTAATATTATCAGCATTATTATTTGTTCCAAATAAATCGTAGTCGGAAGTTGGAAAATTGAATAAATTTTCAGCAGCACAACCAAATAATGGAGCATGCTGAATATGTGATATGCTATTATTGTTTTGTTGTAAAATATCAGAAATAACTTCATCGTAATGAAGGACATCAGTTTCATTTGGTTCGAAATCCTTTGGAATCGTAAAAGATGCATCAAATTCATCATTGAAATTATAACCAATATCGCTAAACGATGTATCATTTAAAAATTGCTCGCCATATGATGATGTATTCAATTGTTGAAATGGTTTATTGGAATTGATCATTTGTTCCTGATCATGTTCATTACCATAGTTTAGCATATCCGGTTGAGTTTCAAATGATGGAAATTGTTCAGCTTCATTGAATATAATTGTTGGTACAAGATTTTGTTGTGTGTCATTTGTTACGGATAAAGCTTGAGGCTCAGAATTTTTGGGAAGTAATGATTCATCATTGGAAAATTTATTTGAATCAATTGTTTGAATTGTTGACGTTTCATCCGTTTTCATCACATAAGATGAATTAGTTGAGGGTGATGAAGTATTTTGTAGTGTCATATGAAATGATGTTGCCGGATCTTAAAAAAGAAAAGAATTTTTCGAAAAAAATTTGTTCATCTTTAAACATTGCTGAAAAGATAATGTAAGTTTCATTGTTATCCAAAATTCAACTTATGTCCTTTTTCTTTGTCTTTATTCTAATTGTTTTTAATTACTAACTTTTTTGACTTAAATAAATTGAAAAATAATTTCAAAGTTTTCTAACATCAAAAGGAATTTGAAAAATAAACTAATATAAAAATGATTGTAAAATTTTAATATCAATTTTTTTCATTTAAGTTTTATTGAAACTTACGATTAGATGATGGTATTGATCGAACTTTATAGACAAATTTACGATGATGGATGTCAATCACTGAATCGTCCTCCTCCTCTTCTTCCTCTTCCTCTTCTTCCTCAACTGAAACAAATGTTATTTAGTTTGTTTGTTTTTTTCTTCAAATAAAATAAAATTATAATGAAAAATTACATTTGCATTTTTTTTCTAATTAATATAAATTAATAAAAGATGCGATGTGAGGAATTTAATATTTGAAATTTCATCGAATATATGAAAGAAAGTATTGATGGCATTTCAAATAAATCCAATTGAATGTTATGAACAGAAAATAAAAATCATTTAATTCTTTTCTTTTTAATTTCGAAATAATTAAGATAATATGGTATGAATAATGTTCCATATGAAATTTCCGGAAGAATGAATATGAATAATGTTCCATATGAAATTTCCGGAAGAATGAATCAGTCAGTACAATTAGCTGAACGTAAAATTAGTTATATTTTCAAAAAAGAAAAAAATGATAAAATGTAAAATATTCTGGAAGATATCATCGAAATGTATGTTACCACATTAATTATTCACAGCTAGGCTAATAACATTAATTCTCCTCAAATAATTCCTGATAATATTAATCGTATTGTGCCCAATAAATGATTTGAATAATTGACCTATTGTCCGTAATTCGTATGAAACGATGATGAAAGAGGAAGATGACGGAAGAGGAAACTTTTTCAAAATTTCATTTGAATAGTACAAAATTATCATTTATGCCAATTTTTATGAAATAAAAGTTAATGAAAGAATTTATAAGATTTTGAAGTAATGATCAGCTGATAAGAAAAATTTTCAAAAACGATAAAAAAGCGAATTCAACGAGACATCAGCTAATCATTGTAATATGAATTAATCAAAACTGAAAAATTGATTTTAATAAATCGGCTGGTAGAAAATGAATTAAAGATTTTTTTCATTGATATCTGTCAAAAATTGATATTGTATAAAATTTAAGAATTATTAATTTAAAAATTAATCAGTAAAATTTTAACAAGTAAAAATTAATTAATATGTAAAAAATAATAAGTAAAATTTAAGAATTATTAATTTAAAAATTATTAAGTAAAATTTTAATTTAACATAAATGAAATTTCATTAAAAGAAAACGAAAGGAAATTTACCCTTTGATTTGATATTTTCACTTATCATTTTGTTGCTATTGTTGAATTAATGATAATAATGATAAATTCGATGATAACGTGAATCGTTGAAGATAGTACAAATAAAATGTAGCAAAAATTACACCGTTAAGATTGGTAGGAAGAAAAGAACACAGTTTGCTTATGAGATTTTCGTTTATGAGATGAAATAGAAAAGCGAAAAAGTTTCTTTGTGTTTTTGTTCTTTTGTTTTTTGTTTTTTGTTTTTTCTTTTTGAAAGAGGGAGGTACTAAATGAAATAGGAGAATTTGAAGTAGAAATGATACCGCATGTTTGCAGCTAGCTGTAGGATATATGCGTGTGTATGCTTTGTTTGCGATATTGAAAACACTAAACATTCTATCGTTAAGCTAATTCTTCAAGTTTTCGATCCATCATAATATATTCATTCTTTACTTGTAGATCGATAGATCGATAGATCGATTGATAGATAGATAGATAGATAGACCGATAGATAGACAGATCGATGAATTAGATAAATAGATAGATGATAGATAGATTAGAGAGAGAGAGAAGATGAGATAGATTTGATAAATAAATAGAGAGATTCGATAGATAGAGAGATTCGATAGGATGACAGACAGATTCGATAGGTAGATAGATAGATTCGATAGATAAATAAATAGATTTGATAGATAGATAGACCAATAGATGATTCGATAAATAGATAGATAGATTCGATAGATGGATAGATTCGATAGATAGATAGAGAGATAGATTCGACTGAGAGACAGATTCGATAGATGGATAGATTCGATAGATAGATAGATTCGATAGATGGATTAGATAGATAGATTAGATGGTTGGATTAGATAGACAGATTAGATAGATAGATAGACACATTCTATCTCTCTATCTTCAACAATTTGCAATAAAATTAAGATTTCAAAAATTTACATAATATATTTTACTTTCTTGAAATGCTATTAGAATTTTGTAGCATTTTTCTCCTATTACAATTGCTATTACAAATAAATTCTTCAAAGGAAAAAAGAAAAACAAAAAGTAAAAACTTATTTTTCAAAGTGTTAACGAAAATGGTTAAGTAACAATTACTTTAATTTTATTAATTATATATTTTAATTTCTACCGTATTTTGATTTCCTTATACATTCGTCATTCTTTTTACGTTAAAAGATATTTGTTCAACTTTTCATAATGCACGAATCACGTTAAGATATGTATAGCTGAATATAATAATAATAATATAGCAATACGTGTTAAATATTTCTTCCAATTTTGCTATATTTCTCTAATTCTATTTTTCACGTAATTTGAGGAAAATACAAAATGAAAGATGTAAAATGTCTTTTCTTGTTTTAAAAGAGGAAAAGAAGAGAAATTTGAAAAAGATAAATTTCATAGCTTTTTTCTATAAAAAAAATCTTACTTCTCGTATTTCTTCAATTCTCAACTTCTCTAACAAAATGTCTATCATTCATTGAACGATGGAAAAAAGAATTTTCCAACAATTTTGAAAAATAATTTTGAAAAAAATTTTGAAGTGATGTTTATAAAATATTAATATTTTCATTGTTATTTCTTATCAAAATTGTTGAATTGAGTGTAGCAAAATATCATTTATCATTTTTAATTATGAATAAGTTTAATGACCCGAAATATATGATTAGTAAAATTTTAATTAATTTATCCAATTAGAATCAGAATTTTTAAAAATTTTAAATTGTTATTATAGTTATTATAGGTCAATGTTGGCCATTTGTATGATAAAATTTACTTACTTCATGCCATTTGTTTAATTCATTTTTTTAAGTAATTAATGATCTCTTAAAAACAGTAATTCTTTTTCTTATTGTATTCTGTATAATCATAAGCTTCTTATCATCTCTTATAATCCTTTTTGAATTGCTGTCCACTGATTAGCTCATAGACATTCCAACTTTCTTTCAATTATACAAACTGTTCGATAACATTAGTTGAATTTATTCTTACACACAATACATCGTTTAGTATTTCAGCCATATCACCTAGCCCTAATTTCTTCGCTGTTTAGCTCAGCATTGTAGAATGATCATCGTAATCATAGAATTATACGCATCCGAAATTTTTGTTAATAGAATTTTAGATTAGGTCATAAATCTGCAAAGTTTAACCTCTTGACAATATCGATTACTGTATCCGAAAATTTTTCATCATTCAGAGAAATATAATACCAATTCATTCGTTCATCAGTCTTTATTAAATTATAGTTAATGTTAGGATACTAAGCTTAATGTTATTTTCTTTCTATTCTTATAGTTTAAAAAGTACTATTTAATCAAGAAGATACGTCGCTAAGTATTTCTTTACTTGCGAATAATTTTGCGTCAACTATAAAATTGTCACATCGTATCCTCCTCAATCTAGAATATTCATTTTTCGTTTTTCGATAGATAGTGATTTGCATCGTTTGCAATCTTTCAGCAACTAACTATCATGGTATACTTATCGAACAAAAAAGAAAAAAACAAATGTAATACTTGTGGAAAATAAAATGTAGGATATTAACTTTATAGTTTTGACTGTATCGAGTAAAATCATAATGAAAAATATTTCGTACAAGCTAATAGGAACGTCAAGAAGCAAGTTTAAAAAAATGGCACGATTGTCTGCAATTCATCACAATTCAGATGATGGTTTCAGAAATTAACATTGAAATTTACGTAATACTGATGTTTTTCATCTTTTTTCACTCATTGATTTATCACATTTCTTATATCTCTGTATCCTTGTTCCATTGGAAGAATGCATATTGTATGAGAGGAAAAATCAAACAAAATTTTGATTCATATTTTCGAATTTACAATATCGTTGTAGATGGTTACAGTTATTTCACTTATGCAAAAAGTTGTGGTGCATTTATTAGTCATCCAATTTGTTGATTTATTTTATCTTATTTTAAGCTGAAAAATTAAAAGAAATTAAAAATTTTTGTTTTTGTAATAATGAATTAACTTGAAAAGTTACAATAATATATTATCACCATCAAGGCATTGAATTAATTTAGAAATTATAAATTTTTACAATCATATAAAATATGTTTTTTTCTTAAACTATAAATATCTAGTATTTAGCAATTATCAAAAATCATTGATTACTTCCGATGAATTAAACTATATTTCATTATATGCTTCACTAATAATCATTGTTTAACCTTTGACTTCTTTTTTGATCTTTCTGAGTGCTAATTCATTATTTGAACTTGATAAAGCATATTTAATTTTTCTAATTAGCATAGTAAATAAGGAAAGTGAGTAGCTTCATTTTCAAAAATTTTGTATGGCTTTTTACCAAGTGGTTAAGTGAGATAAAAATAATGCTATTTGCTGTGAGCATTCCAAATATTCCCACATATTGGGTAACATTGAGATAGCTAATAATTCATGAATATTGGCCTCATTATCTGCAAGAAGACTAAGCAAACTTACGGTAATGATTTTGCGAATTCATACGGGGATAGGTGACAAAGACTGATGACAGCACTTCTCAAATTACACTCCCACGGTCAGCATCTCATTTCCCATCCTGACTTCTAAATCCTCTCTTTCAAAACCTCTTAAAAATGGCCATTTAAATGGAAACGAATCTGACCTACCCATTTACTAAACTTTCAAAAGATTTACTTTGCTAAGTAACATCTCGCATTTATACGTTATGATCAGTGTTGATACTTCATGTCGAGTTTGTGGTGATCGAGCTAGTGGTTTGCTTTCAAATAAATATATTTTGCATTCATATAAAATCAAAAAAGTTTTTAATATTAAGAAAAAAAGAAAATTTGTGAATTTTTTTTTTCTGCAGAATAAATATTAAACATGAACATTTTAGAGATTGAAAATTTTAGGAAGACATTATGGAGTTCAGAGTTGCGACGGATGTCGAGGATTTTTTAAACGGTATATTTTGTAGTAGTTATATGTATCAGACGATTCTTAATGCCAGATAATCTGAATAGATTTCGTTAAATTTATTGTTGCAATCGCATAAATCAATTATATTAATTATTATTGATTTTCAATGAAATTTTGACATTAATACAACAGTTTATTTTTATTACATTCGCATACTGTATCATTAATATTTCATTCCAAAAATAAAGGAAATTTTTGTTCTGATAGATATTTCGGAGAACGTAATCAAACTGATTAGATTAGCATATTTTAATAATAAAATGAGATCTGCGATTTTTTTCAAATTTCAATTAATTATTTTTTTATCTTTTAAATTATTAGAATTAATTTTAAATGAAAAAATACTTCAGTTTTATAATTAAGAAGAAAAAACAATTCACTGATAGTTTTCTGTTACAATGAATCAAGTTGCAATCGTATGTAATTCATTGTAATAATCGTAATAATCTTATGTATCGTTTTTTCTTTTCCTTCAACGTTCTACCTTTTAAAATTAGGAATAAAAAATTGATGATGTACATTTTTATGAATCCAAATTCTATCGATCTGTAGTTTACCTAAATGAAAATTTAATAAACAGAGAAAAATTAGGATAGCATTAATGTATAATATTTTCTTATGTATAATGTATAATATTAGTGTATAAAATATTCATCAAAATTTACATTGGGTTTAATAGTAATTTTGAATTGTTTGATCATTATATATTAAGCAAATCTCAAATTTTAGATTTTACGTATATTTTAAATCAAATTTTAGCATTAGATTCGAATTTGTATGAACCATTGTAATTACTTAAATACTAATAAGGTTGTAAGTTTAATACAGTGTATTAATTTTATTAATGCTTCTAAGAATATGCAATACTAATAAAGGTGTCAAATAGTGGAGGTGTTATTTAAAAGGTATAAATCTTTCTTGCTTACCATCTCCTTATATTATATTTGTTTAATTATTTACTTATAATATCAATATATGATACTATAAATGATATCATACTTATATTTCTACCGTTATCAATATTCGTGATTGAATCAGTTTTATTTACATTAACAAATATATATATATATGTATATAT